AAACTGAAAGTACCCCTAACAATTTAATCTTAATAAATTCATAGAAACCAAGTTTCTCTTCGTATCTACAAAGAAATTAGCCAAGTTAAAGTGAAAAAATGGTATCACTTAAGGAATAGACGTCGGGGCTACTGAAAAATGAGATCGTAGAGTGTACAATATAGTCCATACTAAACGAGATTAAAGATAGCAAAAAAAGGTACACAAATACTTGAAACAAAGCATAAAGCGCTTACTTGAATATAGTTGAATGTCTGCCAAAGGCATGATAATAAAAAGAGTATGAATTCTTATTATCAATATTTATTCAATGCCGAAGAAAATAAGATATTTTGATTTGCCTCGTATCCAGAAAATGGCCACGCCTAGAGGCAAGTCCAGGCTTGGCATTAGCTTCTATGATTTGGTACTCATTTTTCCCTAAATTAATGGATCGATGCTCGGATTTCTGATGAAAAAATGATTATGTCAGAATTTCTTCGTGAATTGCAAGGCCTCTGTAAATATGGTCCTGTTGCAAATTAGAAGTTTAGAAATTTAAAAGGTACAAAAAGTATGACGATGAGCAAGTTAATTTTTCAATTATTACAACGTGGTGATTAATAAAAGCATTCTGATACAAGTATAAAATTAAAGGAAAAGGGTTCCTACCGGTTCGTCAAGGCGTCGCTCAGCTACATGCCGGGCACCTGTAGCTCTGGAATGCTTATTCAAATAGAAACAAGACCGATCAGCACAACCCACACATTCAGCATCCCAGCAGTCACATGCATAATGAGCCATCTCATTGGCCATACGCTGGCGTAATCTAAGGCGGTCGGCCTGGATTCCAACCATCAAGAGAAATAAGTGGATCCTGGCGAGAAAATAGCCAAGTCTCATTGGCAATTATCCTGTTGATGTCAGGAGAGAACAAGTTTGAAAAAAATTGGAATATAAGTTTTAGAGCGATTTGACTGCGATTACACAAAAGCCCACACCATTTTGGTCTTCATACCTTCTATTAAATAAATAAAATTAAAATCTGTGAAAAAATAATGGTGTAAAGACAGGCATCTATTCTTAAATTAGAGGCGCCCGTTTGAGATATCCTTAATGATATTTACGGTAATTAGGGCTAGTTTACCCACTTTAGAGCTTATGATATATAAGTATTTCATGCTTGAGGATGTACTATTGCAATTCAAAATGAACTTGACTTAAAATAAAAAAATTTCTGAAGCAGAATTGATCCAAAAAAAACATGTTTCGAACTTAATAAGTGACAGCCTTTATATTTAGAGAGAGAGAGCTCTCAGTCTTCAATCGTGTTTTAAAAATACAATTTAAGAACTAATGAACATACTACCAGAGGAGATATAAAAATATTGCGACATCATAAAATGCTAGAAGGAGTAACCGTAACACTGATTACTAATAATAACTGATGCATGGTTTATGGGATTTCTGATTTATTATGCCGACATTTAAAGAATATGAAGAATCATGTTATAGATTGATGCTGGCATGCCTTTCATTTCGCTTAACAAGGCGAGTGGAATGGATTCCTAAGTTGGCCTCACCATTTACCCAAACACGAATGCCTTAGACTTGTGACTGTAAGATTGGGAGAAAAAAAATTAACCCCTTTTAAATGTCCTGGTTATTAAAGAAGGGAACAAAATTGGGTAGGGATGTATATAGGAAATCCACAAATGCGGTTTCTTTCTTGATTTCTTCTCTAATCATACTTACTAAATTAAGGTATGGGTTATAAAAGCAATGATAGTACAGAGTTTGCGCCTATCAGACGTAAATAACCAGGATAAAAAATAGAAAATGCTAAATAAAATCCTAGATAAGATAAATTATCTGTCAGGATTACTTGTAAATAATTTCGCAATACTAAGAAATAGGATGAATGAACCTACTATTTAGCATAAAACAGAGGATTAGACAACTCTTAATCCAGATTCCTGTTCCTACCATCATACCAGATTTTGAGAACAAATTAGTTAAATTACTAAGGAAGTAGAACATTAGGATAGTGTATAAAGTAAGGATAACACATTCCTCGATCTTGACTTGACTTAGAGAACCTTCAGACGCCTTGTGAAAATCAGGCTCAACTCCCTCTCTATCTTTCAGTCTATTAATCAAGCACAAATAGTTTTAACTTATCTTCTTGCCGGTATTCATTACATTCAAGGTATTTTCTATTCGGTTTATTTCTATGGCTTCTCCAATTTTACGTTTAGCCGCAACCATCCATGATCAGCAAAACGACAAGTTTGAGACCATTCAATCTCGTATCCCTTTTCTGCCCTGTGCTTAGCAAGCTCCGATTTTTGAATTTCAACAGCCTTTGCAGGCGCTTTTGTGCTTAGTCACCCTTTGTCGAATGGGACGACAAGTCTCTCCAACATAAACATGACAGTACGTGAGCCCTTGATTTGAGCATTCTTTTGCGATATTAAGATACTACTTTTGGAAGTAGTTATAAAAATAATATATATTTATCTATTTTATTCTAATTTTAATCCTTATAAATTTTGGATGATTTTTTCAAATATTATATATATTTGCAATTTCTTTACAAAAATCATCCCCATCCTTAGACAAAAAAGCATTATATACGTTTGAGACCCAAGCTGTTTTATTCATTCTTATGCTGTCGTTAGTTACCGTTCGAAACTTGGCCTTTGAACTGACGGCAGCATTCGTGAAGATAATTTTCGTTATTTTATCTTGGCGTCCGAATAACATCTGATTAATAGTGTTGATTCGAAATTGTTTTTGCAAATTGTAGGGAATGAAAATAAGGTGGAACTAAGAATATAAAGCTAAAGGAGACTGCGACCGAATAGAAGGCCGCACAATCTTGGTCTTCATATCTAAAATATGATTAACTTGAATATTATTGATGCCATGGTCCTTATGCTATATAAAAATGTTGAGACCTAATCGAGATTTAAATTAAATTCCACTCAGGATAAGAAAGCGCCTTTTTAATGCATTTTTCAAAGAGTTCCTTCTACAAAATCAAGTTTTATATTGGATTTAAAGTGGTCAACTCGATTGCTAGTACCCGAAATATCTATCACCCATCAGTGTACCCTCTTTCTGAGATGAACTTCATTGATAAGTTAGACAGCAGCTACGAACAAATGATTAACTTCCGGCACTCGATCAATGGGCAACTTTTATTGCTCAAAAGTATTTATCTCTAGAAAAAAAGTAATATTCATTCACCCATTATTATCCTCTGTTTTCGTCTGTTAGATGAAGACATGAATATAGGGAAATAACTGCCGCCAGTCATACGATAAACGTCATAGTAGCCAAACACCACTTTAATAATTACATCGAGATGGCGCTTAATCAGGAATACTAACTAACTAATTTCTATTATCTCCATACATATTACTGATGTGTGCTTAGTAGCGTACAAAGGAAATCACTGGTATTTTGATTAAAGGACACTTATTTTCAGTGTGTATGTTTCAAAAAATCGTAGTAATGTGTTTTGACATAAACATGACCTGGCTTCAAAAACCATTGGGGATGCATATGAAATTTAGGCAAAGTTAAAATTGCAAT